TTTGCGGCACATCTGTCTGGCCGCACGAGTTCTAGTGCCAAGCCAGGGTTCCATCCTAGTTTTAGGCCGCACAATTTTCATCGGGGCCACAGAGTCCAGTATAAGGCTGCAAGAGGATTGAAACCAAGCGCACAGCCCCTCTGTATCTCCAGCAGCCTTGTTAGTAAACGCAATTGCCTGTTCAAACGCTGTGATAAACAGACCAGCAGTTGATGGGTTCAGTACACGACGGTGCCGAGCAGGCGCCGGCAGGGCACCAGCTGTACAAAACAGTTTCACCTCAAAAACAATGGACGAATGGTCGAAGGAAGGGAGAGGTGATGCCATCTGAGCCTTCAGTTGCCGATAAATGCCCTGGGCTTCTGCTGGGCGCAGGCGGCTCTCCATGGGCTGAGACCAGGGGTGTTGAGCTGGCTGGGACTGGGATAGCCATGACGGCAGATTGTGAGGAAGGACGCGGCTGAGGGGCTGACTGAGCATTGTCCTGGAGGCCTGATGAACCGGGGTGGTGCTGATTGTTTGGCTAGGTCCTGCTCCTTGACCATAGCCACAAAGGCGCTGTCAGCCCAGCATTCGTCTGCGTAGGTGTCCAGGTCCTTCTGGGTCTACCCCACAAACTCCACTAAGGCCTGCATCAACAGGGATTCCTTTGGCCAGGGGCGACTGAAAATCAAGCCCCTCATTCTGTCCAGGATGGCGAAATGCTCTGCCGGGTTCTTTGTTCGAAGTATTTGCATAGACAAGGTAGTGATCAGTTTCTTGAGGACCTTCCACTCCCTGGTGTTGTCCGCGCTCTGCCGGGTTCTTTGTCCGAAGTATTTGCATAGACAGGGCAGTGATCAGTTTTTTAAGGACCTTCCACTCCCTGGTGTTGTCCGCAAGGTCCATGTTGGGCTGGATCATTCTGTTACGGTTCATGAGGGTGGACCCCAGAGGCAGACACAGAGACCAGAGGAGTGGGAACCAAAGAAAGCAGTTTCAATTAACAAAACACAGGTGTTCAGGATGGCAGGAAGACAAGCAGGCCCCAGGCAGGCAGGGAGCAACCAAGGACAGGAAAGAAGAGAAACCAGGAGGATGAAGATCCAGGAGGGACGAGGAGACCAGGAGGAGACCAAGAGGACGAAGAACCAGGAGGACCTGCAGCAAGAGGGGCACAGGAACCAGAAGACGAGCAGGAGAGCCAGCAGCAGGAAGGGCACAGGAACCAGAAGATGAGCAGGAGAGCCGGACAGCAGGAGGGACACAGAAACTAGAAGGGCATGGTGTTGTACTGGACTACATTATACAGAGATGTCAAAATATTTTTGTCCTCCCCAGCTACATACATGAGAGGGTCAGAATATTAGGAACACCTCCCGTGCTAGTAGCATAGACACTCAGGCATCATAGAGCAAAATGGAGATGCTGACTCAATCTTTGAAAATTTGCATCTGACCACCAGTAGTCCAGAATACTGGTCCTTGTAGACTACCAACCTATCATTTGTGGTGGTTGGGAAGGTTATGCCCTCTTCTGCGGCAAGAAAGATGTCCCTTAGGGCATCTTCTCGTTCCCTTACTGAAATGACTCCCGTCAGTGAGACTGCCTCCCAGTTGGGTTTGCTCATTGCTTGATTTCTCCAAACTAACTTTTTGTTGCTCTCCATATCCACACAAGTGTTTTAACTAGTCTGGTTAGATCACTGAATCATGCGACAACCACCAGGTTTTGGACAGCTGCTCCTACAGGTGGTCTCCTTTGCTCTGTCTGGACTGGGTTCTGATTTTGTTCTGGTTCTTGCTCCTTTGCTTTGACCCTTGTCAGTGCAGTAACAAAACCCTTCCTTTGCAGTTTGTTAATGCCATAGCTGGGCATAGCTGCTAACTCTGCGGCTGATTTGACAAGCCATTCATCTTGTGGAGATCTCAGAAACTTTGGCCTACTATCCCACTTTGAGCTTTCATCCAGGTTTTTCAGGGATGGCTCTTGTAATCACGTCAGTGCTGTTTAGCAGACCAGGTAACCCCCACCAGGCTTGGATTTTGGTGTTACTTTGTATCTCTCGATCCTATTTGCAAAGACTTAATAGGAATCTTTTACTCAGCTCTTATCTGTGCATTGTGTCAGTTTCTCATAAACAGCTCCACGGTGAGCTTTAAAATTTGCCAAATATTGCACTGGTCAAAGGGAAATTTTCAGAAAAGAAATCAGTGCTAGAATCAGTGCTGGAATTTACGGGTGTGAAATACTGCATTTGAACATGCAAAACTACACCGAAATGACATTGAATGAGTCACTGCTTTTTCTGCTGCAAGAGGCGGGGGAGAAAAGTTGCTCAAGTAATGTTTATCTGATCCATAATAAGTTCAGCCCCTGAATGATCTTGTGGATGAAAAGACATTGATCATTATGGTTGAGGAGTGGTATGAGTGACAGCCCATAGTGGGCTCTGAGAGCATTGCCAATGAGCTGGCTAATGTTCTCACCTCCATCTTCAACCTCTCCCTCAGCCAGAGCATCATTCCCTCCTGCTTCAAGACCACAACCATCGTCCCCCTTTCCAAGAAGAGCCCAGTCACCTACCTGAATGACTACAGGCCAGTGGCACTCACTCAAATCATTATGAAGTGTTTTGAGAGAGTGGTGCTGGCCCACATTCAGAGCAATATACCGGACACCCTGGATCCCCTGCAGTATGCCTTCTGGCCCAACAGGGCCACCTCAGGCGTTATCGCTGCTGCACTACATTATTCCCTTTCTCACCTGGAAAATAGAGACTCCTACATCAGGTTACTAACTCACCCATAAACTGTCCACATTGGGTCTGCACCCCACCCTCTGTGACTGGCTGCTGGACTTTCTGACTGGCAGGCCCCAGCCTGTCAGGATTTGCAACAGGACTTCAGCCAGCATTATTATGAACATTGGCACCCCAATGCATCATCAGTCCCATCCTCTACACCCTGTTCACCCATGACTGTGTCACCTCCCACAAGGATAACATCATCCTAAAGTTTGCGGATGACACCGCAGTGAGAGGTCGCATCACTGGTGGGGACGAAACAGCCTACAGGAGGGAGGTGGCCGGTCTGGTATCATGGTGCGAGGACAATAACCTCACCCTCAACACAGACAAGACGAAGGAGATGACAGTAGACATGAGGAAGGAGAGGAGATCTCATCAGCCACTATTCATCCGGGAGCTTGAAGTGGAGAGGGTGAGCAGCTTTAAATACCTGGGCATCCACATCAATCAGGACCTCACTTGGACACTTAACACCACACAGCTGGTCAAGAAGGCCCAACAGCGGCTGTACTTTCTGAGGAAGCCGAGGAGGTTTGCCATGTCACGTAGGATCCTCAGCAACTTCTACAGCTGCATTATCAAGAACATCTGGACCAGCTGCATCACTGTCTGGTATGGCGTCACTACTGCTATGGACCACAAGCACCTGCAGAGGGTAGTAAAGACTGCAGAGAAGATCACCAGGACTCCACTGCCCTCTGTGGATAGCATCTACCACCGCAGAGTGTGCAGGAACAGACTCCTAAACAGCTGACAGGGGTTTACAATCAGGAATTACTTCATGTAATTCCACCTATACTGTTTACATGCTCAGTTGCACATGCATAATTGCACACCCACTGCTGACTATTGCACATGCAGCTCCGATGTAGCATACATTCTCTCTTATTGTGTTATTATATATTTTTTTCTCTTGCTTTTTAAAGTGCCTGGATGGCAAAGTAAGAATTTCATTGTACAGGGAAACATGTTTCCTACTGTGCATAGGACAATAAACACTTTGAACCTTGTTATGATTATGTTGTTATATAGCTAATGGCCGAATTGATAAAAGCTGCACGACTCTCTGGCCTGGCGACCATGGAAATGACAAGGTTAAATGAATGAACATAATTGCACATTACTAGTCAACTGAGTGAATGAGCTAATGATTGTGATGCATAAATGAAGTATAGGATTCCAATCAGCTACTACATGTGTTCTTCCTGAACTAAAGTTGTGCTGCCTTCAGAATGATAATATAGTGTTATATACACAATGTTTCACTGTGCAATGGATACAAATAATAGAAACACACCTTCAGTAGAATTAAGAATTAATATAGGGAAAGCAGAGTATAAAATTTACTTAATCTTGCAATTAAAAGTTCAAAATTTCTGTAGAATATATAGAATCGGTACATATAATCACATCTGTCATCAGGCCATGTCATAAGATTCTGTTTATTTTTTTAGGAAAGATGCAAAGAAGAATACTAAGAGAATGTGACAACAATTTACTCACTGGTTTACTTTCCATACTCATTGTAACCGAGTACATGAACTTAATAAGTGCAATCTATCACTCTGTTAGATGATTTTACATCAGATTTATTCATGAACTTTGAGTATACTGTAGTTCATGTTTCTGCAGCTCAGGGCCAGTTGCAACACTTGCAGGTGTCCCAGTAGATGAGGCCTGGCTGGCAGTGGTGCAGATAGGTGTGTCCCTGGAAGCACTGGAAGTAGGTGTTCCTATCTGCTGGGTTTGCATACAGGCCATCAGGGCGACCACGGCAGAAGTCATCCATGGGGTTCCTGGTAGTGGTAGGTCCAGGGGTGGTGGTGGGCTTTGGGATGAAGCCTGCACAGTCAGACATGTAGACAGAACTGTTATGATCAAAATCAACAGAGGCTAAATTGACACTTGATCACACACTGCACCAAAATTCAGAAATAGGTCTAAAATGGTCAAATAATAAAAGCCATCACAGTGAACAGAGATGGTATTCATTCGATGTTAGCTTAGCTACAGTGGCTACCCATGGACATCCTGAGATGGTTGGTGAGAGGATATGCTCCAGATGAGCAGAAGTATCCACCAAAGTCATCCATGTCCAGAGTCCACACATGAGCACCGCCCAGGTTGTTGGCAGTCATCCATTGGACCTACAGGATGACCACATCAGTACCAAAGATGCTTAGAATAACAACAGCAACAGATATATGTAACAAACCTAGAACCATTCTTGTTAGAATGCCACTTATTTCTTCTCCAAAAACATAAGAACATTTGATCACAGGTCAGAAGACAAGAATTTGAGCTGTTGCCTAATGGCATTATTATACTGTAACACCAGGTAGTCATGGAGCTCCTAGTTACCTTGGAAGAAAAGCTGCGCTTGTCATCATAGCCTACCCAGGAACTGCCATAGGTGGCATATGGAACCTCCTGTTCAGAGATCCATTGAACAGTGGCACTGGAGATGAAGGCACAGATCTGGTAGCACAGAAACAAAATGAGATGGGTTAGATCAGGCTGTACATGTGTGAAATTAAGGTGATCAGCTTTACTCATAAAAATATTTATTTGTTCAGGATGCATAACTACTGTTGGGTAAAATTATTAACAAAGTCATACTTTAAGGTTGATTCTAACATTTGATTGAATTAAGAGCTTAATTAGTAGAAGATTGACACTGTTTGTTGATTAGTCAACCTGTGTGTTTACTTTGTTTGTGTATGATTATTTTATCATAGTAAGAAAATGAATAGTTAGGATTTAGTTTAGAGCACACATAAGTTTGCCTACTTATATGTTACAGTTATGTTTATATAACAGCTTTGACAAGGAGGGTCCACAGATACTTTATTATCACCACCTGGCTGAAGAGGCCAGGGAATTTGGCGTCACTGGGACACCAAGGGTAATAAACAGAGATTAGACCTAAAAGCCAGGAAGAGGAGACAACTTCAGAGGCAGGACCATATACATATACACACAGGCAAGACAGTTTAATTAGCCAAACAGAAAGCCATGTCTCATATAGTGTAGTTGGTTGGTAACAAAGAAAGAAGTGAGTGTAGGAATTTAGACAGAGTAGAATTTCCTCCCTCTTTAGGAAGCTGCTTTTCCCATTGGATCAGAAAGGATGCAGGAGGAGGACGGATGGATAGATGGACCAATGGAACAGCACGAGAGGATCAGACCAGCCTACAATGGCACATTTGAAATTGTATAAAATCAACTGAGTTGAGGAGGATAGTGTTCCCTCTCGTCCTGAAGACGAGTTGAACGGTTTTGCTGTTGAGGTCAGGGCTTCAGATAGAGATGGAACCCAGAGCTCTGTAAATTGCTTTATTCGAAGGTCCATTCAGTTATGATAATAAATGTTTGAAAGGTGATATTTGACTCCGATTATTCTTCATAAAAGAACACGCTGCACTACCTAATCAAATGCAGATGACTGCGAATCATGTTGAAATACAGTGGAATTTAACTGTAGAACTATTTAGGTATAAAGAACATGCAACAGCATTTTAGGGGCAATGAAGAGGTAAAGAAGGCAGCAGTTGTAACCTCAGTACTTCTTGTATTTTGAATTGAGGGTGCTTTTTTGATTGCATATGTACCAATGTGGCTTTATAGGAACAGTAATGGGTGAGATTTTAGTGTCATTTTTAACATCAGTGAACACAGATGCATTATCCATTATTGGTGAATTTTTGACTCTCTCCGCATAACTCAGCTGACCATTAAATGAATGTACTGTACCTCATAGAAAGCCCAGAAGCCAGCAGTGCGAGTGTAGGGTCCAGCATCTGCAGGGCCATTAGCTAGTGCTCCGAGGCTACTAGAAGCACTGCTAAGGCGGTAGGTTCGTCCAAATGTGGAGAAACCCAGCAAGAGCTTTTCAGCAGGTGCTCCCAGAGCCAGCCAATAGGATATAGAAGAGTTCTAATGAAAAGAACAAAGGAGATTAATAGTACAGTATAAAACATATTTAATGTTTTAATATGAACACTGCATCACATACCTCACAGTAATTTTAAAAAAGTTGGCAGTCTCATTGCTTCAGCTGTGAATTAACAGGAAATTGACAATATTCAATTCATTATTTATAGGTCTAGCAGCTGAAAAGGTATATTTCTCAGGAGCTAAAAGGGGAGTGAATATTGGACTTACAGAGGGGTTCCTGAAAATCATACTTAGTATATCAACCCTAAAGTTTGTTCACATCAGTGAGATAATGGTAAACAGTCTTGTATAGCGCTTTTCTGTGTTTTGCGACACACTCAGAGCACTTTCACACTATTTGGCCATTCACCCATTCACATTCTCATACAGTCACACAGTCACACACCAGTGTCATCACTAGGAGCAACTGGGGGTTTAGTGTCTTGCTCAAGGACACTTCAACATGTGGCCTGCATCAGACCGCTGATCCTCCAATTAGGAAACGACCCACTCTACCTCCTGAGCCACAGCCGACCTGTGCATTTTAAACTGTGTTTTGGACAGTTTCTCTAGTGTGATGTATTCTATCAAAAGGTTGGTCCAGTGGTTTATGTTTAGAGGTTTCTTTAATTTCCAGTTTTGAAAGATTGTTTTCTTGGCAATAGCTAGAGAAATGAGGAGTGGGTTTTTGTATTTAATTGGTAGGTGGTTGACTTCTGTGAACTTACTGAGCAAGCAAAGTGATGGAGAAGGAGGGATCCTACAGCCCAAGATGACTTGGGCTAATATGGGCCTGGGCCAAGTGGGGCAGACTCCACCTTCAACAGAGCCAGCTCAACAAGACGTGTTTAGCTAAAATGTTGCACCAAGGAAACATCTTCACACATTCAGCAGTCACTTTTTATCCATAATTTCATTGCAGCAGGATTTGAAAATGCACTCTCCCCTTTGATCTTCTGATAAGGGGTTAAAATACTGCCTGGCACCAAGGGTCCTATGTTGCAAGCTAGGGAAACCACACTGACATCATGAGTTATGTGTCAGTTCTTAATGGCTCGCATCACCATACATTATCAAAATGTGGAAGATAAACAATGTGTTTTACAGTGCAGTGGAAACACAACTGCACTAACTCGGGAGCTGCTCCACCATGCACCCCACCACTCAGCATGACAAATCAAAAAACACAAATAGGTTAATGTCATAAAGTGTGTGTAGTTTGCAGGTGTCTGTCTTTTGTGTGTCTTTTGTGTGTCTTTGTCTTACGATATTGTGATGAATATATGAGCCAGTGTCCACAGAGCTGCTGTACAGTGGGCTGTTGTGTCCAGTAACTGGCTCCCAGTGTCCATGGAAGTCATAGGTCAGGACGTTGATGAAGTCAAAGTAACTGTTGATTTTGAAAGGTTTTCATTTTAGATCAACAGTTGATGTTTCAATATTGGTTAATGACTTTATGCAAAGTATACAATAAAAGGCATATTGACTGAAGACAGCCCTGCAATCTCTCAAAAGTCTGCCCTTCAGTAAATTCCGGTCTCACATTCGGGTTCTTGACATATTTCTTACCATGGTGTCCTTGATCAAGATTCTGACACTGATATCCCTGTTTTAGTACTGATACAGAAACTATACTTTTATGGATACCTTGCTTTTCTGAGCATAAAAATACATTGGGTCCAGTGAAATCAAACTTACGGTGAAATCTTATCAACTTCATAGGCTCTGTCAATGGTGGAACGTATTGCAGCTACATTGGCTGCCAACAGCAGCTGAGTCCTCCGGGTGTTTTTGGCCTCATCCTCAAAGGCCTTGGACAACTCCTGTATGCAGGACAAACAGAACAATTCAGCTTCGTCTCACCTGACTGTTTTTTTCTATCCTCTGTGACAATACTGGGTGGGCTTTGATGAAGACTGAAAACTAATGCATCTCACAGCAGTCACACACTATCAAACATACAACTAAGTGGATTCATTAGTCTTGTTTGTTATCTCCCATGTGAAGTTGTACTTACAGGTAAACAATTGAAGCCTAATTAATGCTGAACTTATGTTCAGCTATGATTTGTAGGAAATGCATAGAAGTTAGTGTTTACAATGTTTACCACCTTTAGTGTGTTAGCATGCTAACATCCTCTGGGGACCTTGAAGGTCTGTGCAAAATTTCATAGCAATCCAGCTAACATTCAAGATAATTCACTAAAAAATGAAAAATGTCAACCTCCTAAAGGTAGTCAGGATCATCAAATTCAATAGGACGCAGCCTCTAGGGGACCATGAATATCTGTTGAAATATAGTATGTCAGTCTGGACCAAAGTGCAAGATTTACAGACTGACATTGCCATTTATAGAGAAATGTTGCTAGTATGACTTGAAATGATAACATACTTATTGCTTACTGGCCCATACAGGGTTTTACCTGTATTTCATCATGAGTACCACATTTTTAGTTAACATGTTTATTGTGAGTTTAAAAATATCAGCAGTAAACTATTTTGGGATTTGGGGCCAGTCTTTAAAGTCACCACTGCATGTGTAGAACTAGAAACACATTTGAAACCCAACAGCAGTGAGATGAATGGGCTTAAAGCATAGCAGCATTTGCTGAACTGGTATGGTGATGAACTGTAGTAATCCTCACCTCTATTTAAATTAAGGTCTAATTTTCAAAAAATATTATTGAAAAAATGAAGGCCTTGCTAACCTTGACCAGCAGAGTGAACCTTGCTTTGTCCTCCTGTGGGCTGCCATTGTGTCCAGGATATTCCCAGTCCAGGTTCAACCCATCAAAGTTATGGGTGCGCAGATAGCTAATGGCTGAATTGATAAAAGCTGCACGTCTCTCTGGCCTGGCGACCATGGAAATGAACCTGGAGGGACAGGGAAATGGAAACTGTGGCAACATTTCTAGTGCTACAGAGGGAGGTTTATTACTTGTGAGCTGACAGTGTATCTAGCACATTGAGGATGTGTGTGAGAAACCAGTTTAATATTTGGACATACGGGCTCACTCCATTGAAACTGCCTCCAACTGACAGCAGAGTCTTCAATGCAGGATTGCTAAAAGCAGGGAGAAAGTGAGAGAGCATTAAACATCCCAGAGTTTCCAGTCAAATTATCTCTGTTATCACTCCAGATTTCATTCTATTGTTTGTGGGTTTATTCAAATTAAATAGTGATAGAACATTCCTATACTGTAACTGTTACACCTTAAAATCCAGTAGTTATTGGTACTTTTCAGATGCACACATTATTTGCTGTAGATGTAAAACAAAAATAAACTTGAGATTTTTTTCTTAATTGGACAAACCTTACTTCCACATATAATTTAAATCTTATTGTACTTCTTACTCTGATCATATATGCCTACATGTGTAAACTTCTTGAATACTATTTGCCACTGCAGTTTAATTGGCTATTGGCAAATACTGTTGGAGTCATTAAAAATCTGCCTTGTCTTATTTTAATTTGAAAAAGGAAACATTTAATACTAACACTACATATTGTGTGCTTTAATCTTAAAGAACCCACATGAACTGAATGTTGGTTTTCAGATTGACTGTACACACTGTGGAAACTCACAAGTTCTTGAGGCTGTTGAGTCTGGCATACTGCTGCTCATCATTCCACTCTATGGGGCTGATTTGGTTGAAGCTGTTGATGGTGGCCAGAGCGTAGATGACGTGGGTGCACAGCAAGGGGTCGACATTGTCTGAGGTGAATCTGCTGTTGCCAGGTCTGTACTGGGCCCAGTTGGTAAAATGGCATGCCAGCTTACTGGATGAAGCTGAAGGAAGAAAAGCAATGAAACTTTCACTCTCCATGCATTTGCTCTGAAACAATGATAAAGAGGAATTAATTCCTGTAATACAAAATAAATGCTTACCCATGTGCAGAGCGAGTAGAATGCCCAGCACTGAAAACAAGAGCGAGAGAACATATGAACAAAAAGGAAACATACAGGTGAAATAAACATAAAATGAATTCCAAAGAGAAAACATACCTGTCAGGAGTCTTGCCATTGTGCTCTCTGGAGATCTAATCAATTTTCTACAGCAGCAGCTGACCTCTGAGCAAAATCTGATATAAGATTGTAAAAGATGCGACCACTGCTGAAACTGTTAGTCCATTAATGAGTCAACAGAAAATTAACAGATGGAAATACTGATCATGGTTTTCTGTCTTTTATATAATAATACATTTAAAGGCTTTAGATTTTTTCTTATACAACAATAACTTTAAGACCCTGCTTTGATCTGATTTTGGCACTTTTGAATTCCAAACAATTCACTTATTATAAGCAAAAATTAATCAATAATGAAATGAATTCTTAGCTATAGGTCTACATGCAACTACTAACAACTGCAGTACAATGTAACCACAAATCCAGACAAGGTGATTATTTCCTTACCTTTCTTCAACAGGAACAGATGCAGAGTACAGAGCTCAGTGGCACTGAATCAAATTTATATTTTACTTATTAATGACTAATAGCTGGTGGCAAAGTGCAGCAGATAAGAGCTGAACATGGTGGGTGTCTGGCTGACGTGCTGAATAATCTCGGTTCCAGGGCAGACTGGGCGAAGTCTTGTTGAGAAACAAGCTATCAGTTCAGTTCTACGTCACAGCCTACTGCAGTGATAACATCAATTGTATTTCTGCATTAATTAAAAATAGGAAACAATGATTTATTAATAATGAAGAGTTCATAAATGTAATCATACTTAAAGTACCTAAATCTCAGTTTGCAGCTTCCTGCTGGGAATTTTGTTTTTATCTTCAGTTGAATGTCAGCCTCTGGGGTCAGGACCTACGATGGTTTGCTCATGATGGCCCTGGTTGACTAAAGGAGCCCTCTAATATTTTGATAAATGTGATCGTTTGTAATGTTACACACTTACCCAGATGATTTGACTGATTTTGTCCTCTATATGGACTCCATTTCTGGCATACATTGTGCAGTCAGTGAAGATGCACAGTTGGCTCCAGTGTAACCGATCCATAGTGAGTTTGTTTACATCCATATGGTCATATTCACAGGTTTTTGAGTTACCCTTGTTATGTTTTCCTTGTGTAATAATATTCATGAACAACATTTTTTCCATGTTTGAGATGAAAACTGACATCATGTGTTATGGTTGGCAGTCTGGCTTCCTGTTTTGCGCTTTTATTTTGGTTAGACTTCTTGTCCTATGTCACCTCACTTGCCCCAGCTTTACTCCAGTCACAATCACCATTCATTGTTTCCACCTGTTGCTCATTATCCCCTGGTGTTCTCCCTATATATTGTCCCTTCTTTTGGTCTGGTTGCTGGTTCATTTGGTCTCCATGCTAAATTGGCCCTTTCATCTGTGTATCTGCTCACCACACCCTGCTTGTTCTTGTAGCTCAGTAAGTGTCTCCTGATTTGTTTGGCACTCGAACTGTCGGTCCCTTTCCCTTGCCTCACCTATGGACCCTGCACTTACCTGCCATCTTGGACTTTGGTTTGTCCACCTGACTGTACTGTTTAGAAGTGATATCCAATTGTCACCATGACACCTTTTATAGAACCACTTCATCATTTGTATAGAGTATTAGTTCATTCAAAGGTTTGGTTTAGTGCCATCTGGTGGTGAAATAGTATGCAGCAGAACAATGTCTGAACTAGAGAAATGCGTTTCCTGTCAAAAATGCGTGTGGATGCTAATAAAAGCTGAAAGATTGTCCTGAAAATGCCTGAAACAGCTGAAAGATGAGAAGAAATGGCTGAAGTTCTTTGAAACAGTTGAGAAGAAATGGCTGAAGTTCTTTGTTGAATAATCTGAAGGATGAGATGCAATAAAGTAGGAATGGCCTTGAAGAGCTGAACATTTTGATACCCGAATGGCTTTTCTAGCTGAAGGTATGCTGAACTTATTAAGATGTGAAAATAGTCCAATAGGACTGTTAGAAATTAACCCAATTCTTTTGTTGGAAGCATGAGAAGTGAAGACAGGAGAGGACTGTTTAAAATCAACAGAATGTTTGCTGAAAGTCTGATCACAGGTAGGTCTTACAGCGCTGAATTCAGAGAGACAGAGCTCCCGCAGGAAAACCAGCTTCTGAATCCTGAATTACGTTTTTACAACACATTTATCTTCTTAGGCTGCTCTGCCCTGGACAGGGATGCAACCTTCAATAGTTCGTGATCCGTTTGGTTATTTGTTCTGAGTAGGTCAACCCCTGCCTTCGCTTGCTTGCTGATAAGTGATCTAGACCGCGTGCGTGCGTGCGTGTGTGTGTGTGTGTGTGTGTCTCTCTGGCACCCTGATCTTGATCTCGAGGTGAACTGATCAATGGGTGGCCTGAGTTGCAAATTTTCAAAATAAAGATAAATATTTCAAAGGTATGAAATTTAGAAAACTTCTGAATAGAAGCATGAATGTCCTTGAAGAGCTGACCATTTTGATACTTGAAATAGCTAAAAGTATGCTGAAGTAGAATTTTCCCATTCATTTGATTGGGCCAAAATTTTCAGAATAAAGCTAAATATTTCAAAAGTATGAAATTTAGAAAAATTCTGAATAGAGGCATAAATGTCCTTGAAGAGTTGAACATTTTGATGCCTGAATGGCTTTTCTAAGTGAAAGTTTGCTGAACTAGTTGAACCCCAAAAAACGTACAGAAAAACCAGAATAATGACTAGAAAACTGCATTTCCTGCCGCAAATGCGTGTGTGGATGCGAATTGCTGAAAGATCGCCCTGAATATGCTGAAGACTTTGACACCTGAATGGTTTTGCTAGCTGAAAGTATGCTGAAGTAAAATTTCCCCATTCGTTTGAATGGTGCAAAACTTTCACAATAAAGCTACATATTGAAGAAATATGGAGTTTAGAAAGGTTCTGAATAGAAGCATGAATGTCCTTGAAGAGCTGAACATTTTAACAGCTGAAAGTACTCTGAGCTAGAATTTCCCCATTCATTTGAATGGTGCAAAACCTTCAAAATAAAGCTACATATTTCAAAAGTATGAAGTTTAGAAACATTCTGAATAGAAGCATGAATGTCCTTG